GAACTCTGATGCTGCTGGGTGAGGTTGTCCTGCTTTGCCCACTGTACTCTGTTTGGTGCATTTCCACACCCCAATCTTCTAACTCCTTCCAGTCCATCTTATCCTCCATAATCTCCCACCTCCTCTCCCACTTTCACCATCTCCATGAGCCCACCCTTGCCTACAAAGGGAGAGGAGGAGGAGGGACTGACACCTCCATAGAAGCTCAGAGGACTGGGCTGTGCTCCTTTGATCTCTGGTCAAAATGGAGGCTGAGACTTCCAAAGCTGCCTGAAAAGGCCTGTCTGCCTGGTTCTTCTTTCTTTTACTCCCTCAAGTCAGTAGAAGGGGCTCAACCCCTAACAAAAGTAGCTTTGAGACCTCAAAACCTCTTCTCTCCAAGGAATCACCCACATTGGGCAAGGAAAACAACCCCTTTTTGGTCCCCAAATTGGAACCCTGTCAGAATTGCTGTTCTCCTCTAGAGCATATCCTGCTGGAGAGCTGCTTCAGATGGCATTTGGTGGATTTATTCATCCCCTTCCACTTCATTATCCCTTTTCTCTTCAACTTATGCTATGGGAAGTCAATTCCAACTGAGCTTGCAGAGCTTTCCAAGCATCGTTGTGACCTCTGCAGTAAAATTCAACTAAGGAAACAGAAGTGAGGGAATCATCTGAGCTTCTGTGTCCAAGAGCATCGTGGTTTGGACAGAAACAACTGGATCCCAGCTGTGGTTCAGGCCTGCAGAAGGTGGGCACTGTAGCCCCACCATGTCAGGGGGAAAGCTCCTGAGGTTGGGTCCCCAGGGCAGCTGTGGTGTTTCATGAGGTGAGTGAGACACTGAAGGTGGCTGATCAAAAAAGCAGCTGTTGAGGATGCTGAGCCTTGGCTGGGTGGAGATTCTGTTCACTCACATCACAGCTTAACTGTCCCTTGGCCATGGGGGATCCAAACCCCATCCCTGAAGGAAGGTGCCTACAAGCAGCCCCTGAAGGAAACAACCAAGCTACTTAAAATAGTCACATGAAGAAGTGAGTGCACCCTTCACACAGTAGCAGGATGGGATGGTCCTTTGGGAAGCCATGAACACCTAAAAGAAGCCTCTACAGCTTCCCTGGAGAACAGTCTGAGCCCCGTTGCTCTCTGAAAAGGCACAATCAGTGGAGCTAGAAGGGTAGTTTGAAGGGAGCCTGACAACTTCCAAGGCTGGGCTGGTTAGCTGGCATGGGGAGTCTGCAGTGTCAGCCATGGATCACACCTAACTGCTCTCCAACCATGAGTGCACAGAGAGACTCTTGTTTTCATGTACCACATTAAATCCTTCAGCAAAGCTGCTACCTGCTGGGTTGATGGACAATGAAGAGACAACAGATCAAGAACTCAGATTGCTGAACCCAGGAAGAGCCTGGGAGACCCCAAAACCTCACGTCCAAGTCATCAGCTGAGACCCTGCTCCCTCACCATCCCACCAGGAACTCACCCCTGCCAGCCCCTTTCAGCCCCTTCATCACCTTTTCCAACAAAACTGGCCCAAGCAAAGGCAACAACCTCTCTCTCTGGCAGATCTGAGATCAGACCAGAAGGATCTCCAGCAATCCAGCCAGTGACTGGCCAGCTTACTGGTTAGTAGCTGCAGCTCATGACACATGCCAAGGGGTTTGTACTCACGCTGAGTGCACACACAGAGCTCCAGATGGGACAAGCACATCAGCACATCCCCTTCCAAGGAAAGGATTTTGCTTTAAATCAGACCACTCACATAGCAGTTAATTTGCACGATAAGAAAGCAATAAATCTGCTGTTTCTGGTAATAATTCCTGCTTGCTGCAACCGTATCGTGCTCGACCAGAAAAGCTGTTGGATGAATTAGCAGTAATGACAATAGCAAATGTGAAAAATGCTATGTCAACATGAACACGTCAAAGCACTTTGCAGGGTTTTCCTTCACTCGGGCTGTTCAGACCCCCGTGGAAGTGCCAGGAGCCTCCTGGAGGGCACCCTCCTCACCAGCACCCCTGGGACAGCCCAGCTCTGCCAGCTGAGATTGCTCTGATGGCACATTCAGTGCCTTGGGATGCCACAGGTATGCAAAGCTGCCCTGCAGTTTGCAAAGCAGCCCCTGTGATCTCAGCCATAAGCAGGAGTTTGCTCAGCTCCCCTTGGCCCAAGAAATGCTCCTGACACTGTGCAAAAGCTGTTTACAGAAACCACTTCCTTCATTACAAGGCAAGACATTTGGCAACTGCTTCCCCCTGCACAACAACCCCCTACCCTAGAGCAAAGCAGAGATGGAGTCTGCATCCAATTAAAGCTGGAAGGGGGCATTAAACAATTAGCACATAATTACCTGATTTGGATTGGGATCAAGACTCTGGGGAGGACCCAGCCAGTGCAAGGGAGTCTTGAGTGACCAAACCCAGTGGGAACTTCAGCTGGAGGCATCACAGACAAAATGCTGCTTTACCCCCCAGCGTCAGGATATTGGCTGAGGAAAAAAATGTGTGGGGGGGGGGGGGGGGGTGGTCATTGAATCACCAGGAGTTTTTCCCCTCAAGCATCAGTTAAAAAACAACCAAAAAAACAGCTTCTCTGACTGAAATGCCAACGCTGGAGACAAAAATGAGTGCAGGGGGTAAAATGTTCCCCGTGACAAAAGGCAGCCATTCCTTCTCAGCACCCCCCTGTGCCCTGGTCTAGGGTTTTATCACTTTCAGGAACGACAGCAGCTCCAGGAATTTTCCAGCATCTTATGACATCTCGTTACCCAGGAGCCCACAGACAACTTCTCTGGGTGCTTCATGGGGTTTTTTTCAGCAGCTCACAAGGGTGTTGAGATTTCCAGTCTTTAGGTCAACTCACATGAACTTCCTGTCCAGCTGCATGCAAGAGGAGCCTGCACCTTGTTCCCACCTAAACCAGCCTCTTCTACCTCCAGAAACCTGCATGAGCAGAGCAAACTGCCTCGGACCTATCAAACCACCTCTTCAGGGCTCTCCTGTGTATCATCACCTCTTCTTGGTCACACGAGGAGAAGAGGAGGGAGGAAAAAACAGGGTGACAGCCACCCCAGACTTACTTTCTTGGCTTGCCTGCTGCGTTCTCAGCCACGTGGTACCCAGGCTTGCACCTGTAGCGACAGACCGAGCCCACGTCGTGGTTCCCCTGCAGGCACCGTGGCACCAGGAGCTTGGCGTTGGCCACTGGTGGGGGGGTGTCACACTCCAGCTTGCAGTAGGCTTCAGGGAGGGACCAGAGACCATCCTCCAGGCAGGTCAGCCACTGGTTTGTCCCTTGGCCCCGGGGAAAGAAGCGGAACGTTAGGGTTGCGGGAGGGAGTCGCGTCTGAGGGAAGCTCAGAGCAACCAGCAGGAGTTCTCTTGGAGTGGGTACTGATGATGCTAAGGGAAGCAACAATATCAAGGCCACAGGCTCCATGGTATGCTTGGGCAGGCTGAGGCAGAAATGCCCTCAATGCAGACCGAAGCAGGGAAGGGACAATCTCTAGGGGATGGAGAAAGGATCTTGGTCCTGCCCGTCTCCCCAGAGCTTCCCCTTCTCCTCTCTGGTGGTGCCCCAGGAGAGCCTGCAGTGGGGTGGGGGCTTTTGTGTATGACACCCACCTGTCATCTTTAGCTCAGCCCATTTTCATTCTCCCCAGATGCTTTCTGCAGTTTCTCCTGACCTGCCCTTCCAAGCTGGCACACCCTGTGCTACACGTGCAAGCAGGAGATGGGAAGTGCCAGGAGAACAAACGTGGGAACCTGAACTGGTGTGACTGGGAATTCAAACCACCCACTATTAGAAAGGCTTGTGTTGAGTATTATGGCACCCAGCTGATGGGTGGCCAGAACTGCACAGCTCTGTGGTAGGTGTCCAGGACTGGAAGACCCACATGGTGTGTTTGATGGATGCTTCACTGGGAACTGCTGAGCAAGAAATAAAGCTGGGCTGGACTGAACGGGGCTCTTCCTACTGAGGGGTTTGGACCAGCAGGTTCCCTTGCCAGTTCTTAGCATTTATTATCCTCAAGAGTGTGCCTACAAGGATGCCAGCCCTTGGGGAGAACAAGCACCAGGCCCATCCTTGCTCAGAGCCAGCTCAGCTGAGTGAGCTGGACCTCTGGGAGCTGAGCTGCTGGCTCAGCAGCCTTGGCTGGGTGCCACCAGCCCTCAGGGCAGCTGCTGAATGGCACAGAATGCTTGGGGTTGCAAGGGACCTTCAAGATCATCCAGTTCCAGCCCCCCACCCTGCATGGCCAGGGACACCTCCCACCAGCCCAGGTTGCTCCAAGCCCCATCCAACCTGGTCTTGAACAACTTCCACAGCTTCTCTGGGCAGTTGTCACCCAGGACACTCCACCAAGGGGATGCCTTCCCACCAAGGGAGCTCCTAGCAAACCTCCCATTC